GGGAGATTGAATCTTGTGAATATTTCACTTTTTCATTGACACGATTTAGATCATTTAAGAGATGGTCTGCACAGACCCTGCCTGTCGACTTGGAACAGATGGAAATATAGGTTAATACGATAACTTTTCTAAATGAGAATTGAACTCAGGTCTTTGGCATGCAACTGTGAAGAGGCAAACCATTAAACCATAAATGCAGGCTATTAGGGGAGGTCATGAGTAAGCGGTTAGTGGACGTAGGTTCAAGAAGAATATTAAGTCGTACCAATGACAATAGACAAGTTTGAGTGTGAGTAAAGAGAAGCACATTGACACAATAATGATCATATTGCGCAGGGAAGAAGCAAGACAGACAGAAATAGACAGAAATTGAAGGAAAGACAAGGAGAAGGACCTACCAGTGGGGCCTTCCAATCACCAGCCAACAGATAAGAAGGGATGAAAGAAAATGAAAGGAGATATAAAAGGAGAGGAAATTAGACAAAGCAAGAAAAAGTAAAGTGAGACAAGATGAAATCATAAAGAACAAATGAGACAAAATGAGATGAAATGAGACAAAATAAAATGAAATGAGATGAAATGAGACAAAATGAGACTAAATACAATGAAATGACATGAAATAAAGTGAGATGACACAAAAACACTCTGTATCTTCCCCGATCCCAGCAGTCTACAACAGTGACCACGCCAGAATGAGACCAACACTCACCTGGTATGGGTGTGGGTGTGGGGGTGGTGGTGGAAGGCTCAGGCTGGGCTGGAATACACGGGTAGTACGGGTCGTCTTGTGCCGGGAGGTACAAGCAGTCTGGGGGGTAGGGCATGTACCGTCCGCACTTCTGTACAGCGTCTGAGGGTGGAGAACACACCATTTGTTCAACTTTCTGGGGTTTTTTTAAAAAAGTAAGAGTCTCACTGTACTTGCAACATAGTCAGAGTATATAACTGCTGAAGATAAGAGCTGTTATTGGAGTTTGTAAAGATGTTTTAAGAGTTTTATGGCACTTGCAACACATTAGGTCATATAAGTGCTGAAGCACTGAGGAATTACTGGAGTGTGGCATACAAACAAAAGAGAGGAGGAGAGATGTGGGAGATAAGTGTGTGATAGGAAAGGAGCAAACCACATCAGAGCATCTGGATCTACCAACCATTTACAAGTAGGTTATGTAAGTGCTGAAATATAGAACTGTTGCTAGAGAGTAGCATAGAAACAAAAGAAGGAGGAGAGATGAGGACGACAGATGTCTGATGATAGGAAAGAAGAAGCAAACAAAGCACCTGCCAACCACCCAAGGAAACAACAACTCTGACAAGAGTCAAGATTTGTTGTTGAAAGACTAGATACGCAGTACATCAACAAAGGTTGGCATGTTACGAGGCTTGATATTTTGAATTATGATGGAAGGAAGAGGAGAAGAAGACGAAGAAGAGGGGATGGAGAGGAAACAGAACAAGAAATAGATGGAAGACAAGGCACAGGGGGACAAGGAGGAGGAAAATAAAAAGAATGAGAAAAAAAAGTAGCAGGCGGAGCAGGAGAAAGTGCATGAGAGAGAGAGAGAGAGAGAGAAAGAGAGAGTGAGAGAGAGTGTGTGTGTGTGTGTGTGTGTATGTGTGTGTGTGTGTGTGTGTGTGTGTGTGTGTGTGTGTGTACATGTGTATATGTGTGTGTGTGTATGAGTGTGTGTATATGAGTGTGTGTATATGAGCGTGTGTGTTGAAGTGTGTCCACTTGTATATGTCTACCTTCACAGGCTTCTCGACAAGGCCAGATGGGTTCGTTGTAGTAGTCCACATTGCACCCGGGGAATGTATACAGACAGAAGAAGGTCATGTCCTGCATGCACCCGCTGTGGATGCTGTCGTTGGCAAAAAACTCAAAGAGCTGGAAAAGAAAAAAAGAACATTCTGTCTACTATCTACTTTCTATCTATCTCCTTTCTATCTATCTTTCTATCTATCTATCTATCTATCTATCTATCTATCTATCTATCTATCTATCTATCTAACAATCTATCTATCTATCTATCTATTAATCTAATTCTTCACATCCATCTTTATTATTATAGTCTGGTACTAAGCCCCCAAAAGAAACATTTTTCAGGAGAAAGAAACAAATGTTTCATTCTTTTCACAAGGGCACTTAAACTATGTGTCTTTTCTTGCTTTTTTTCAAAATATTCTACAGTTCAACCAAATATTTATTAAACACATGTAACAGAGACCACTGATAAAGAAATACAACAGTTTAAAAAAAATAAAATTGGGCTTGATGCATCAGAACAACTGGGCGACAATAAATGCCACTGCTTGCCATGAGGGACCTTTTGTGTTTTAGTAAAAGTTTTACGGCACTTGCAACACAATAAGGTCATATGTGAGGCAGCGTGGTGGAATCAGGCTCTCGTCAATTTTTGGGCATATTGAGTTATTGGTTTCATCTCAAAGCTTGTTCATTTTTCTTGCTTTCAATGAAAATATTACCCATCTATCTTCAATAGAAATGGAGATATTTTGGATTGAAGGAGGTGGGGGTCACCAGGTTTAAGAGGTAAAATTAGCGAGAAAATGGCCGCCAAAGCTTGATAAATTCCAAAGCTGGAGAGTCCATGGAAACTGTAAATTTATATTTTCGTACCTTTAATCAACGTTTTCGGTGAAATCCTCAAAGGAATGTGTTTGTAAATGGACATAAAAGGTGTTGAGCCAAAAAACAAAAATTTGATAAAAATTGCGAAGCAGGGAGAAAACTGCTGTTTTCTTCCATTTCATTATTTTGACGAGAGCCTGATTCCACCACCCTGCCTCACATATAAGTACCGAGAATTAGAGGTGTTACAAGAGAGTAACAAACACAAAAAAAAGAGGGGGAGAGATCAGGATGACAGATGTTTGATAGCAAGGAAATAAGGAGCTAATGACACCAGAGCATCCGCCAACCACCCACAGGGTACAGTGCCCTGTTACTCGATTATAGTAACTCCTTGTTATTAGGAATATCACTGGAGAAAACTGTCCAAAACAATGCTGCACGTTTAGTTTTATGGAAAAGAAATTGAGCCTCTGCTAAACCTCTTTTACGGACATTGCATTGGCTTCCTGTTTACAAAAGAATTGTGTTCAAGTTGGCCATCCTATGTCACAAATGTTTGAATGATAATGTGCCATCATATTTATCAAGTCTGTTAAGACTGTACATTCCAACTCGCAGTTTAAGATCATCAGCTGACAAAAAGAAATTTATTTGACCATCTATGAAACTTAAAACAATGGGTGAAAGGGCATTTGAATACCAAGGCCCCAAGATCTGAAATGCTTTACCAAGTACTTTGAGAGAGATCAAATCTTTCGATTCATTCAAATGTCAGCTGAAGTCGTTTCTGTTTTTAAATTAATAAGATGAATATTTGGAGTGATTTTCTTTCAGTCAGAACACAACGTTTTATGTTTCTCTTGTACGGTGTATTGTAAAGCGCTAAGAGCCTGAGTACTTCAACCGGGGTTGAGCGCTATATAAATGTCATTTATTATTATTATTACTTACACTGATAAGACAGGGTATGTCATCCTCACAGCCCTCATACACACTGGGAAGAGATGTGACGTCAAAGCCCAACTGTTTGCAAACAGGGAGCTCGAAATTGACACAGTAAACTGAGGACGAGAAGAGATACATTGTTAATTGTACATGTATAATATATAATATAAAGAGCACAGGGAAAAACGGAAATTGTGAGGGTGCCAGTTTTAAAAGCTTTTGGACTTCATATTTGTTGGACTGGTGGTTTATTGTTAAGCATTGTTGAATGGGAAATCGAACAACAATAATCAACCAACAGTTGAACAGAAATACAGTTATGAGTCAACAAGCCTTCAAAATTGGTACCCGAACGATTTTCAGTTTGTGACTACCGTCGTTTTTCCCCTGTAGTCTTCATATATAATGTAATGGGGAGGTGTGATGGAATTAGGAGGAATAAGATTAGATAGATTGGCATGGAACACAATAAAGTAGAATCGGAAGGTATGTAATGGGAAGGGAATTCAGACAAGAAGAGGACCCCTCCCTCGAAAATCATGAACAAAAAAAGCAAAAAAGCAAAAAGCTCCCTACCCCCTTCCCTCCCCCCTCCCCCCCCCCCCCCCGCCCCGGTGGAAAAAAGAAAAAAAAGAGAGGTTAAAAAAAAAAGATCAGAAAAGAAAAGAAAATAGAAAAAAAGTCTCTTACGATCTGGGTAATCTGGAAATTCTGTAGTAGAAGTCGACTTTGTTGCAACAGACGTTGTTGTGGTGGCCTCTGTCGTTGTTATTGCTGTTGTCGTTTCTGCTCTTGGTGTTGTTAGAATTAGTGGTCCTGTGCAGTCCGTTGTTGGGAATTCGTCGCAGTTTTGTGGGAAGTTTGGGAAACTTCCACAGTCGTTTTTCACATCTGATGACGTGACAGACAGGGAACACACGACGTGTCTCAGTATTTTCAGAAGTTACAATTGACATAATAATGATCATATCTTGTTCTTAACTGTTTCTTGCCATCATCACAATCATCATTATCATAATCATCCTATTCAACATCATTATCATCATCAACACAATAGTCATCATTATCATCATCACATCAACACCATTGTTGTTGTCATCAACACCATCATCATTAAAAACATCACCATCATCATCATCTCAAATACCTCTAGCGGAGGCATATTCATCTCGTTAACAGCATATGTTCAAGTTGTCTCAATGGCGTTGAAGGTGGAGTAAAATATTCTGATCATTTGAAAAACAGTGGCACAAAAATCTGGAGAAGGAGTAGCATTCCCCGTGTCACCACACAGCTTTAAAAATAACCTAAATTAGGTTAAATCGGATACAAAACTTATAGAGAACAAAAGACCGCAGGCATTTATTAAGAGGACTGCTCCAACTAGATTTCAGCAAATGTGAGGCAGCGTGGTGGAATCAGGCTCTCGTCAATTTTTGGGCATGTAGAGTTATTGGTATCATCTTAAAGCTTATTCACTTGTTTTTATTTGGATGAAAAAATATACATTAATCTTGAATACAAGTCGACCTATTTGCGAAAGAAGGGGGCGGGGGTCACCTGTTTTCAGAGGTAAAATTAGTGGGAAAATGGTCGCCAAAGATTAGTTATTTCCTTAGCTTAAGAGTCTGTGGTAACTGAAAATTTACAATTTTGTGCCTTTAATCAAGGCTTTTCCGAAAAATCCACACAGAAATGAGTTCTTCAATTGGCATAAAAGGTGTTGAGCCAAAAAACAAAAATTTGATAAAAATTCACAAACCTGAGGAAAAATGCAAGTTTCTTCACTTTGATTATCTTGACGAGAGCCTGATTCCACCACGCTGCCTCTCAAATTATAACTTGAATTATGCCATGAACTACACCATACCCCCCCCCCCAAACAAAACTGATCAAATTCATGCTAATTGTCATGGCAGTGAGTGCCCTGGAAAGTTAACTTTTGCTGTTTTTTATGTTTTATTTTTGTTTTTCCTTCTTGGTTGCGTTGCGATAGATGCACAACATTCCTTACATCACCTGGAGCCTACGAGTGCACTACGTCGAGAATGGCAATGGAGGTCAAGGCAATAACAGAGGCGCTGGAATGGATCAGTATGGAAGCGTATAAACATGCCCTGTTTGTCACAGATTCGATGAGCACCCTACGAAAAATCAGGAGTGGGTGGCTCTACAGTGACTGGAGAGCTTCCATTGCAAATAGACACCTCCTAAGAATTACATGGGTGTTTTGCCCTGGTCACGCCGGGGTGCACAGAAATGAGCGTGCTGATGAACTTGCCGGCAAAGCAGCACCCAATGGCCGAATCATGCTTGACCCACCAATGGTGATCGCCAGATGCAAGGAGAACCTTCACAACCAACAGGAGACAGACTCCCACACACTCAGCACAATAAAAGAAAAGTGTGTGCTGGGCACAGTGAAAAAAAGTTTGCTCCTAGAAGTGGTCAGGCGTGTCTCAAACCAGCTCCTCATGGAGGCAATTAGCAGGAAGACCCTGAGGTGGACGCTGGAAAGGAGAGATGAGCAGATATGGACATGTGCCGCCTGCTATGATTCTAGCTCTGGACCCAAGTAAATCCAAGTAAATCGTCACATCACCACAGAACGATTGGTAGTGGTGCAGGAGAAAAAGAGCTTTTTCCTCCAAAGAAAGTAGGAATAAGTGTTTAAAAAACCTTCTTACCATCATAGAAAGATCTTCCCGGTTGCCTGGTAAAATAGCTGTTTTCCTGGAAGTTGAGTTGAAATCGACCGACAATTTTTTAATCCAAATTCACGAACGTATTTTCCATCACAAGAAGAATGGCACGAATGTTTTTCCTAACAAGCAGGATAAAATTAAACGTTTTAATAAACCCTGCTTACCATCACAGAAAGATCGGCATGGGTGCCAAGGAAAACAACTGTTTTCCTTTTTAAGGTGTGTTGAAAAAGATGAAAAATCTGAAACCCAGATATTATGTATTTACTACGACAGAAAAAAATGAAAGAATGATACGCTTTATAACCTCCAAATAAGATTAAATTGGGCGTTAACCCCCCCTCCCCCCAAAAACTTACCATCACAGAAAGATCGGCACGAGTTCCTGGGAACAGGGCTGTTTTTCTTTAAGTTGTGTTGAACTAGACGCAAAATCACTTGTTTGTTTTTGTAGAGGTTTTACGGCGCTCGCAACTGCATAAGGTCATATGAGCGCCAGAAGAGGTGTTACAAGAGAGTAACACACATTTTTAAAAAATGGAACAAACCACACCAGAGCACCCGCCAACCACTCACTCTCTGATCCAAACACGTACTTACCATCACAGAAAGATCGGCACGGGTGCCTAGGAACAGGGAGAGGGCTGTTACTGCTGGACGTGTCTACATCATCACAGGGCGGGAAAAGCAGGGAGCAGGCGAACCGGAAGACGTGGTCAGAGCAACGAGTTGCCCCGCTGGGACCAAGTAAGTTCTCGAACTCCTTCTGTGCATCGTCAGGACTTGTGTGACCCTGAAATGAATTTTTTTTTTAAAGGGGGGGGGGGGGGTCGTAAATGACTGTTGATGCTTTCTGGAGCCAAAGATACAACTTGGATGATTAACTTAGAAATGATAATCATCAGTGTTTTAAAGGTGTCATCGATGCAGCTTCGCTCATTAACCAAGTAATGATAATGACGAATGTTTTTTACGCTGCAATCGACACACAACCATCCCTAAGCGTTGGCTTAAATAGACAACTTAGAGGACTAACTATGTACTGTAAGCTATCGAATAAACGCCCCCCACCCCTTAATAATTTTTTCGGTTTTTTTGCGCACCTCCCCCACTCCTTATTTCATAACCCCCGTTTATTATTTTCCAGCTGGCCACGACCAAGGATCATGTTGAACATTATATCTAGAATCTAGATATCTGAATGAAACTTCTTCTTTTTTTTTGTGGTAAATGGCGAATTACCCTCAGTCATAGTACCGGTACCAGGTTGGCTAACTCAGTTTTCAGAGCATTTTAAAAACTTTTGTACAGCCCTTCGTTTGGCTCCGAATTTGAGTTAAATGGCGCGTTCCGTTGTGAACAGGAATTATGTCAGAGTGCATGGTCTGGGATTTAATAATACCAGTCTATAGGTAAGCCTTATTCTCGTGAGCATAATATGTCAGTTTAGTTTAAATAAGAGTTTTACGGCACTTGCAACACAATAAGGTCATATAAGTGTTGAAGATTAGAGGTGTTACAAGAGAGTAATAAACACAAAGAAGAAGGAGGAGAGATCAAGACGATAGACGTTTGACAGGAAAGAAGGAGCAAACTACACCAGAGCACCCGCCAACTACCTGCATAATAAATCACATGAAGAGACGCCAGTACTCACCAGCAGATTTGGAAGGTAGAAATGGGAATTCCCCACTACGGAACCGCATGGTTCAAAGGTCATAACCTCACAGCGGGCTGTGGATGGAAGGGTGGAAAAAAACAATTCAATACACTGCTAATTTTGTAAGTGTAAAAAAGGAAAAGGAAGAGTGTTGTCCATAATATTAACAATGTTAGGTTATTTCAGAGGCGGGACTTCCGAATTTAATATGTCTCAGATAGGACCGAGCCAATAAATGGGTCGGAAGTCTTGAAAACTCCACAGAACTAGAACCACTCACGTCTGGGATCGATTCAGGGCCCTTCACTCTGTAGTCCAGCAAGACACTAACTGAGCAAACGGAACGCCTGCTAATTTCATACTTGCTTAAATCTTCACTGAGTCTGAGTCAAGTGATAAGTAAATTTGTTTTAAAAATCATATTTATTATTATACAGACTTAGCTTTTAGTCGAAGAAAACAGAGGGAAAAAGAACATGAAAACGGCCATTTCGTGCTTGGAAAAAGGCAAGACCAAAACATAG